TTAGGCGTTTGCGGTTTTAGCCGTATCTAGAGTTACGGCGCGCAACCTATGTAGTTCGTAACGCATATATATTACGTTGGATGCCATTGAGAGGGCACCGTGAGAATGTAGGTAAATTGTATATAGCTGTCGCTATCTCGCGAGAGCATTCCATAAAGTCTGATAACTTTTATCATTGTACAAAAAAACAGGGAGTCTTATCTTTGTTCGTGAATTTCTGTCGATATATGGATAGCTTCTACAAACAGAAGAAGCGGTAAAGAATTTAATCGTTGCATTATTTTCCTCTCAAAAAAATATTTAAAATTGTAATAATGTACAGAGTAAAAATAATCATGTAAATTATTTATATCAAATTAATGTAGATTAATGTAAATCGGGAAAGGAAATGTCGACTTATCTCTTATATTATGATACACATTATTAATCTTTATCCAGAAATTCGGCACTCGTAATAATATAATTAGAATTATTATATTTTAACTATTATCATATAATTAAATTATTATATTAAAATTATTATTAATTATTTAATATATTTTTATATGTATATTAAAATTATTTTTTATATTAATTATTATTATATATAATTAAAATTATTATATTATGTAAATTATTATTATAATATAATTAAAATTATTAAGTGAAAATTTGCCCGAGTCTTAAAGAATGCGAAAATAAAATTATTATGCATGATAATTTTATGCAATTTTTTTCTTCAAATGTAACGAGATGCTCACTTATGTTCGGAAGATAGGCTGCTCTAATAAGAGTTAATTTAGCGCATCTCAATCAAGATGCATCATATATCACGGTGCTGCCATTTGTTTCATCATTTTTTTATATTAGCCTCCGTTGCGATTTAATGACGTTAGCAGAGCATTGTACGCATTGAAACGGCGTATCACAACAGAAAAACCTACATCGAGAAATTACGCTGTGAATGCAATTCTAATCATATACTTGTAAAGGGGCATCGCGTTCAAAATCACGGCCTGTCGCGCCACGTCGCTTAATGAGCAATTAGAGATAGATAATGCGCGCGGAAGTGAGATTCAACGAGGGACTCTAATAGCGGCAAAGTGATTCGCGAAGGCACAAATGTGCTTTTTACCTGAACGATCGGCACCTTCGCTAATGAATAATTAATGGTGACGCGGTAGCGATGCGAAATCAGCGAGAGGCTCCACGCGACCGCCCAACTGATAATCTAGATCACGTGCGACCGTAGAAGAACATTGAAGTTTTTGTTCCACGCGAAATCTCGGGATGAAACTTCGTTTTCTATTATTTTCTAGCATCGTCCGGATAATGATCACTGATTACTTCTTCGCTTTATTAATTTCCACTTTTGTGACGTAATGATTTTTTTCGCGGGATCAAAATAATGATATGAAATATATACAATTTTCCTAATGCGTTTTTTTCAACATGATTTATAATTTGTCTAATTAAAATAATGATTTAATGGAATATAATAATGCATAAAATTGTCTGCGATTTCTCAGTATTTTCTCAGTAATTTGAATGTCTACTAATTGTTCTATTAATATTCAACAACTTTTGCTTTCGTTGTAAGTTAACGATTGTAGTCGCAGTGGCTATAATCTCATCGTGAATGACATGAATCTTCTTAGAAGCGCCTTCTTCGTCTAGCTTCAACTATATCTTATAATTATCATTTCTCTTATTAAAATAATTGAATGGTGAAAGATACGCTAGAGAAATATGATAATACATACGAATAGCTGATCTTGATTTGATATTGTCGATCCGTACCGTGCTATTGTCGTCGACGGTGAAAGCTGCAATGCTACAAGAGGGAAAACCTCATGAAAAAATAATTCTTTCATGTTTGCATACTTTCTACACAAGGACTGAAGTCATCTTCACGATCGGCGGACATCCTACCGGATGCGACGATATTCACGCGGACACGATGATGTTCCGCGAGATAGATGCAATTGATCGTCTTGGCCGATATTTCGTATTTATAGACGATATTCAGGTCGACTATTATCGAAACGTTGTGATCTAAGAGCTGCGACGCGTTGTCTTCTGTTAGTTTCACTTAAATTGCTTCGCGCCTCGTTGCATCCCTACCATTGTCCGACGCGGTCTTTGAAAAATTCAATCCGATCAGTATCTTTTCAGAGAGAAAATTTGTTATTCCAGGACCGAGTGTCGACTAGTGTTTCTAGAGGTGTCTGCGAAAATTTTAAAAATTACATAAATCCGAATAAATAAATTGCACTTATAACTTTCGCGTAGACTTTCGGATTGAAACGAATGTCAGTTCGCTCACGGTTAAAGTCCAATAAAACAGTTTGTTAATAGCCTGTTCTGGTTTCGGTTTCGATTCCGTGGCCAAACAAGAAAACCGGAACCGTTTAATTTACGGTACTTTTAGGTTACGGTTCTTTTGGAGCTTCTCGCTTATAATTATATTGTATTTTGATTAATTTTCGTTTTGTTAGGAATATGTTTTTTTTCGTATAATAGGTATAAAAATCTTCGTTGTACGCAACGGAAATCCTATGCAATTTCCCTATAAGAAAATGAGAATAATTAAAGAATGAAAAAGGTTGAACGTTTCATTTTCACCTCGCTGCTTATGACTCTTTAATTATGATATTAAGGGAGTAAAGTCAAGAAAATTGCGAGCTAGGCAGATGTTTCATTCGCACTATAATTCTACATGTGAATAGATAACAGCACGTTATGCGAAATGTGTTATCATCAATCATATGAGAAGGATCTCACGCGAACAATCCGTCGCAGGTACATTATCCTTTTATGTAACAAGTTTTTCATGTATTTATATGGATGTCGTTTATTCATCTCTTTGATCGCATACAAGCAACCTTCGGAAATTTCTAAACTTTCCTTTTTTTAAATTTTGATTTATTTACACATGTGCAATAAATTATATATAACAAAAAAATCGCATACATATGCAATTTTTAATTATATTAGATCATCGCATTCTATTTGTTCTTGAGTCTAAGAGTTCAATTTTTAAAAGCACACACTTTGTGCTTTCAAAATAAAATTACTTATTATTTATATATGATAGTTTTTCATCCTTTTATTCTTTTTCGAATATTTAACATACATATTTTCAGAAATTTTACATCGATGATGCGAACATTCAGACCATCTTTTCTAACTGTTACATAAATTTTCTGCTGCATTTATTATAATATGATCAAATTGAAGCCCGTACGATATGCAATATTTTATATAGATTGCATATTTCAAATTTACTGTAAATTTATTGCATTATTTCAAATTTATTGTAAATATCGAATTTATTTTAAATATCCAATCGGCCATAAATTACCTTTATAAACTCTTCATTTTCTCGCATTATATTGACATCATAAAAGTAAAATAAAAAAGTAATAAAAAAGTAAATTGTTTACATGATTATAAAAATCAATATTTTAATAATCATTAAAAGCGCTTGACAATCACAAGTATCTGCTTCATTTATGAATAAAATTAATTTAACTTCTGTCACCTTAGCAGCAAAAAAATCATAAATAATTATAGTTAGTGCGTTATTTCTGTTTGAGTTTCGATGTCAATGAACCTTTTTACCTTCGATCGAAAGGCGTGAGGTGTCGCCGAAGCGGAAAGAGAGGCCGACAAGAGAGCCTGAAGAGGTGAACCGAGCGCAATCGTAATTTCATACTCGTCACGTCCATGATTGGTCAAACCGCTCGATACCGGCCTCGAGAATGTCAACCGTTCGAGTACCGTTCGTTGTCTCGATGGATCGACTGTGTAGTTCAAGTCTTCTTTCACCTTGGCGAATCGCAGCGCCGACTGATCCGCCCTTTCGCGAGAAGAACACTGCCGAGATCACCTGACTAGAGTCGAGGACAGGGTCACGTTGCGGGTTCTCGTTTGTCTTCAAGTTTCTCGCTTGCAGCATATGATTAAATTTTCTATCCTGTATTTGATACAACTCTCTCCAACTTCATTTTATTTTATTTAATTACTTTATATCACGTATAGGATTTTACATAAATTTTATAAGAATAAGAGAGTAATCTTGCGTAAGAGAAAAAATCTTTATATGCAATCCTAATTTAATTTGACGTGGAAATGAGATGATTATTTACTACATAATAGGGTAAACAGACAATGATTACAACGATATTTTTCATTATCTCGACACAAGGGGCTATTTCGCGTATCTTCAGCATCGTGCGAATTTAACAGTTTCTTCCTGAATAAAGAAGTTTGCACGTGCGCACGTTTCCCTTAGTAGGGCCGCGAATTGGCGATACCGTAAAGTACCTTTTCAAAGTACCGTTTGGGCGCGAAATTATTTCATCTGCGTCTCGACCAAACACACGAGATCTTTCTCACGCGAGCACAGCAGGGCTAATTACGCCCTAACGACAATATAATTATACATTTTTGCGCAATAAGGAAGTGGCAATTAACACGCTTTTTTCCTTTTTGCTGACTGCAACAATTTCCGAGCGACCCTTTATGTTGCTGCTGTTGCGTTTTGCATGGCCCTTTTAATTGTCGCACGTTACCCCAATCAGTCTTCTGCAAATAAAATTCTGCGATGTTTATGCAAATATCACGAAAAGGGTTCATTTACCTTTTATGCAGGCATTATACCGCGAGTTCGTCGAGCATGGAGAATATTCCTTATATGACCGTAGTTCTAATCGTCTTCACTTCAGTGGTTTACCGTTTTAATATTCGCGTTAAGCACTGGCATACAGCTTATTTGGGTTTATCGCCCTCACGTGCGAGATTTGCAATAGTCGAGCATAAAGTTGGCTTCTTGAAAAAATCTTGGAAGTGAAAAATTCTAACTTGACTTCGATTAAAAATTTGCATTATTACACACTATATTAATTATATGATATTTTTTTTTGCAATAAATTACAATATATTTTACGAGAAACATTCCACTATTTTCATCGTCTGGATTTTCGTATATATTGATATCGGTTTTTATCTATTTGCAGGAGTATTGGCTATACAAAACGATAAAACATCCTCTCGTACCTCTCGAGAAAATATCGTGTTGAGTGCCAGCGCTTACACTGGTCCTGAAAAAACATCTAGTGATAGTCAATCGGACGAGTCCTTGACGTTTCAGAGAACCGTCCCAGCATTTCAGCTGGAAAGCTCGAAGAGCATTCATGATTATGACAGGGAACAATCCAGATTGGTATTCAAAGATGCGAATCGCAACGAGTTAATCGACGAATTAACGTCGTCGAAGCATGTAGCCCATATCGACGGTAATAACATTGAAGTGAAAGCCGGAGAATATTACAAGTAAGTCATTATTTTTTATGAATATGGATAAAAGCATGAAGCCGATTCTAAATTAAAATGGATTTCTTTACAAAAATTATGAAACTACAAAAGAATGTTCGCAAGCATTTTTTTAGATGACTTCGTCAATAGCATGAACATTCGTCAAAGTTTCAATTCGTCAAGTTCAATTTATCGTCAATTTAATTTTTATTTATTCATTTATTCATTTTTATTATTTATTTCTTGATTACAAAGATTTCAAAAGATTAAATATTATAATACAATTTACTACATGATAAATTATCATATACATAATAATAAAATATTCACATAAATAAGTTAAAATATTAATTTAATATTAATTTTAATTATGATCAGAAATACATTTTGCGAAATAATTTATTATGACCATTAGGATAGCACCCACTACCATCGAATCGATGTCGGGGGAAGGACAAGGGGCTCCGCTGAGAGTAGATCTTCTGTCGGAGCCCCATCAGCTGGATGGCGGGCCGAGGCAACGAGCACCGCATTCGCAACCAGTTACGGATCTTCAGCGGCGAGGCCGTCAAGAGATCCCGAGGATCTATAGCAAACATGCGCCACCGCCGATCTTGCAAACTGCCGCGCCAGGTCAAAGACAAGCGAATCCCGATATACAGGACATAATCACCGGCATCGTCAAGCTACTCAATGGCAACGTAAACGTAGCCGCCAACACCGTGAGGCCATTAAGGCCGATACAAGCCACGAGGTAATTGAAAAAAATGTTATACTAACACACGTGATACTACGAAGAGCGTTAATCGACAAATGATATCATTGCAATGTGTGTATAAAGATTAATTTTTTTTAATATTAAATTTTCATTAAATTTTCTATAAAATTAATGTCACATAATTGTGTATATTAATTTTTATTTTATCTCATTATTTTTTATTTCATTTATTTTTTATTTTTTATTTCATTATTCTATTTTCTGAAAAAAAGATGCATAAGATGGCAATTATATTTAAGTATGAATAGCATAATTAACGCATAATTTACGTTGTACTTATAGGATCAACAATAGAGGGCCGCCTAGAATTTCGGATGTGCCGCCATTACCGCCGGATTTTGACACTCCTGGTATGAATCCACCGCCACCCCCGCCACCGTCATCATCCCATCCTTATCCATTCGAAAAACCCCCTGCGCCCGACAAACCATTGCTAAATCAGTTACCACCAGAGAGACCCGTTAGGCCCTTCATTAACGGAGTGCCATTGCCAGAACAAGTCGTACCACCTTGGGCTTGGGATTCTTCTCATAGTACGTTATATATATTCCATAAATAATTGCACATATAATTAATCATTTATTTTGCATGGATGCTTTAACATAACAGAACATATATATATATAATTTTATGAGGTAATTCTTTGTTGAAAATTAAGGGGGGTTTTTCATATAAACATTAAAAAGTTCTAATAAAAAATTGAATAGGGGTTGCTAGTTTCATCTCCTTATAATAATACGGGAAGCTGAAAAAAAAATTAATAAATAAGCTTTTTATCAGTAGAAAATATCCACCTATTTCATTTCTTTAACTCGTTCTAAATTTGAGAAAAAAATAAAAACCTAATTTTTATCCTTTATTTTTGAAGGAGTGTAACTTCACAGGGGGAATATAGGAGTATACGTTTATATGAAAAAACCCCCTTAATTTTCGACAAAGAATCATTTCCTAAAATTTTTCCCATTTATTAAGGAACATCCTGTATATATATACAATATATATATGTAGAAACAAAGAGAGAGAAAGGAGATTTTATAATATAATAAAAGAAATAATGTTATCGTAATAAAATTATTTCTTTTATTATATTATAAAATCTCCTTTCTTTCTCTTTGTTGAAATAATTTTATCGTAATAAAATTATTTCTTTTTTCAAGATGGCAACAGACGACCGGTATCATCCTACAAACCCTCGCCACCTCCGCTAGATTCCAGTTTTCATCGCGATAAAGACCTTTCGACGACGGAGAATTCGCAGCATAATTTGAAACCGGAATCCGAAATATCTCAAGAAAGCTCCACGATTAAGAAAGACGCCAGTCATCAAGAAACACGTATCGAAGAAACTAAGAATAATACGAACAATTTTGGCGTTAATAAAGATCAAGTTGAACTTATGGCAACGAACAATGACTCGGTTATTCAAAACACGACGAAAAAATCTGAAATCGAAGAGTCTACAAAGAAGCATCATCTGAACCACAAGTATCATACATCCTTAAAGGAAAACAAAATTAATGGCGAGGAAACATTGATCCTTGGTGTCGCTACGGATTACGTCACTCCGACGACGCAACATCCGGAACCTTCGAAGACGATAACGTCTTTAAACAATCAAGTTAAAGTTACGAAACTCTCGAAGAGCGACGAAAAAGCATCGTTTGCAACTTCCAAGGTGGAAAAACCGATCGAGAAAACTACTACGAAGACTTTCTCGACCAGTACTTTAAACATAGAGACCAGTTCGTCGGTTCAAGTGATCGAATCTATACCGACAAAAATCATTTTTCGACCGACTTCCGATGATTCTACAGAATCAAATACCGATATTAAATCCAACGTGAATCTGGAACCTAGCAGCGTATTAGATATCGAATACACAGAACCGATGTCTAGCGTCTCGACGCCGACTGACGGTCTTCTTACGAGTTATTCAAAGAGCTCATCCACGATGGAGAAAAGTATCGTTCGCCCTACGACCTCGATCTTTACGAAAAATACAGGCATGTAAAAAATATATGCGCTTATTGACAGATAATTTGAAACAATAATCTATAAAATAATTATAATTATTATAATTAATTAAAAATAGGATAATTATAATTATAGGATCTACAGAACGTTATCGTCCACGACCTGGAATCGTTTTGGACGACACTCTGGATTATACTGGTGCACAAGGATTGCCAAGTCAGAGGCCTTACATCTCGCCATCGAGACATCCATCTCCCGGTGACGTGTTTGATGTAACTGTCTCGGCAATTCAGGGGCCCGGAGGAAGCTCCGGTAATTTTCTCAATTGTTCACGTTTTTTCTTTTTAGTTACATGTATATTTTAAATCACGCTTGCAATATGAGATTTGCGTGTAATATATTATTTCAAACATACATTTTTTTTATATAATTTTTTCTTACTAACACAAATGTTTTGAGAAATAATTTTTCTTTATCAATTAGATTTTCATGTTTGATTATTTTTCAGGAGAGAGCGTCAGGGTATCTCTAAATTCGGGTAACGCCGATGTCATATTAACTTCTGCTGTGGGCGGACAAGGTTTCGTAAGCATCGATGGTAAAAGAACGTATCTAAATTTGTTCGATAACACGGAGCGGACACCCGCAGCTACCCATGTGCAACCGCAACCGACTAGAACCCAACCACCGCCCATCATCGGTACTGGGTAAGTCCGACTTCAATAGCAGTAAAAATCCAGAGTTCTTTTATAAATAATAAAAAAGTTACTATTTTTATTTAGCTAAAAAATATACGTCAGTTTCTTTTTTCGGAAATTTAATTTTTTCAACGTATACAAAATCGATTTGCTAACAATTTTCTATGTAATAAAAAAATTTAAATATAAGAAGACAAATATTAAGAAAAAAAAGAAAAGAATTATATAACATCCTTAATGTCAAAACCTTCGCCAGTCTCGCTATTCCACAACCAGACGTCCCTGTGGCATCTTTACGCCCGAATGGACCGAATCGAAGGCAACCACCGTTATATCGAAGACCGACGCAGCCACCTGTCAGAATAGACACTTGTATCGTGGGCGACACGAGTACGTGCGACGCAAATCAACATGAGGCTTGTGCGACTGTTCAAGGAGTATCAGCTTGTCATTGTAAGCCAGGATACGCGAGATTGCAGCATTCGCTACCGTGCAAAAGTTAGTAAATATATGACCGAAGATCATAAGATCAACACATGATTGACACGACTTAACTCCAATATTTATTTCTTTTCAGGAATTGTTAGCATTGTTGTGTCAATTAGAGTGGATAAATTCTACGACAAGAAAATTGTGTGGGATCGAGGACTAGCTGATAAGGATTCAGAATCTTACCAGACTCTCGCTTACGAGGCCAATAGAGCCGTAAGTTTATCTAATTAGTCAAATTTTTTTCTTAATAAATTATATTCCAGCTAATTAAATTTTTCATACACGTTTTTTATATTATGAATTTTTTCCTTATTTTATTTAATAATTTAATGACACATTTAATAATTTTTTCTATTTGTTACGTACGCAAGTTTTAATTGTATTATTTACTCTTTATAAAATTGCAAGTTTTAATTGTATTATTTAATCTTTTATAAAATTTGTTGTACAGATTGAATCTGCCATGTCTATGACACCGTTTTCGGATGAATTCATGGGATCCCTGATAAATAATGTTTATCAAGGAGACGTGAGCCAAGGACAAGGCGGAGTTTTCATGAATGCAACTCTAAAGCTCATTTACGAAGCGAGAACAATTAGACCAAGTTTAGCTGGCGAGCTGCAAAGACATCTGTTAGGCGTTATTCATAGAAGGAATAACAACATTGGAAACAGTGCCTTATATGTGGACAGCCCACCTGGATCCATATCAAACTTGCAAGGTAATTATAGACTGTTAAACGTAATTAGCAGTAATTGGTAATATTTTAATTATGAAATAAAATATAATTATAAAGCAATATCTACTTTTCAAATAAATTGTATGTACTTGTGCACACAATTTATTTTAAAAGTGGAATATTGTGTACCTAAAATAAAATACACAAAAAAATAAACTACATAAAGTAACTGAAAAGAAAACTTTGCTTATGATATCACAATGTGTGAATAAATATATAATTTACAAAATAATTAAAAATAAAAATCTGCAACATAAAAAATCTGAATTTATAGATTTGGATGAATGCGTTTCATCGGAATTGAACGACTGTCATCCCTCCGCTAGTTGCACTAATACATTCGGCGGTTTCACATGCTCTTGCAATCCGGGATTGAAAGATCCTCATAGAGATAATCCCGAAAGAACCGGTAGAATTTGTCTAACATGTCCATCGACCCACTGCAATAATCGTGGCACTTGTTCTTATCAAGGGGATCAAATGCAATGCGCGTAAGTAAATATGAGATAATGTAAATTTTTGTTTTTGTTAAGTGTATTGAAAATTTTTTTGCAATCTCTAGGTGCACCGGCAATTATTATGGCGCGCAATGCGAGGTTGACGGTGAAGTCTTGGGCGTTGCTATAGGCGCATCTGTGGCTGCATTAATAATAATCGTGCTCACGCTAGTCTGCCTTGTTATGTGGAGGTAGAATCTTTCTCAATTAAGAAAAATAATATTTTATAATATTACACATATATATATTTATATTAATATATAAAAAATGCGAATATTTTACAGTCGAAAATGGTCTCGCGAACAAAAGTCTGCAGGTTCCCCGGTATACGGTTATATTCAAGGTGGAATACCCGGTACTCTTCCTGGTAAAAATAATTTATAATTATAATAATATAAATATAAATCTTGATCTTTTTTCGTTAATAGCATAGATCTAAAGATACATATAATCTACAGGAACTTTAGCGAGGGTCGGATCTGTAGGCACTTTAGCATCTGTAAAACAAGGTCCGCCGACGAATTTACCGCCTTACATGTGGGCTCATTTTGGGGATCACATGGCAACAGCGAATCTCTATGCGGTATGTATCAATAAATCATATTTAATAATTAGTATACTAAAATATTTTACCGTTAAAAAAAATACATTATTTCTATTATAAATAATACATATAAAACAGAAAAATTAAAAAAAAAGGAAGAACTAATATGGAATCAATTTCAATGTACTTTTAAATATAAGCCGATAGTAGACAAATTTCTTCGCGTAAGAAATGTATGCTCATTACATGAATATTATAACATCAAATTAATTTTTGCAGTTCTTTTATAAATTCCTTAAATTCAAAACATAATAAAAATTTTCGTTAAATCATCTTAACTTTGATCGACTTTAATCACAAAGTATAATGTTTGCAAATCTTATTATTACAAGACCGAACCCATGGGCCCGACACGACCGAGTTCGGCAATGTTCGGTTATCCACCTATGAACATTCACGGAACACTGCCACCAGTTCCATTACCACGACTTCAAGCCCCACCGCGGCAAAGACTGAGACCTCAACCAGATCCAGATAGCTCGGATTCCGAGCCGCAGGATAAGGACAGAGCCGATCTAATTCCTCAGAGTAGCGGTTTTCACGTGCCGAGGCCAAAATCGAGATCTTCATTAGCGGTAAATATTCATTAAATCGCGAAGCGTATATCGCGATAAACCATAAACGAATGGAATTGGAACGAAAATGGATTGAAAAAAAGAATTCATCTATGTAAAATAAAATGTCTGATTTTGGGAAGATTAAGAATTTTTTTGTAAAATTTAATATTCGAGCGGTACATATATAACTAAATAGAACATATATATACATGTATAAATTCTGAGTTTTGAAGAATTTATTTTTGATCCGCTTATTTTAAGTAGAATGTAATAAGAATAAAGATAAGAAAGTAGAGAGAAAAAATTCAATAATTATTAAAGCCAATTCCCGAGATTAGGAACTAATAGTTTCGCAAAATGAATTTTCATCAATTCCTTTTAAATCGTAATCTTTTTGCGAACGTTTTATTCTTATCTTTTGCTTTCAATATAATTGAACATTTTCATTTCAATATTAATTCAATCTATAGTTTTGATTACTATAATTGTAGAAGCTAGTTAACTATTAGTTATAAATATGAGTTAATTTATATTTCAGAATCAAAGCGGAATTTATAACGATGTGGAGTACGATCAGGGTGATGTTCATCATCTGTCGAAGAACAATATCCCGATGTCAACTTATAGACCGTATTACAGGACGTAAAATTCACATCGCGAGAAGTTACACACTTGCGCACGTGTATGTCAAGGAACGACGTTAGATAAACCCATTGCAATATTTATCGTCTAAAGTGCTCAATAAATAGTGCAGTAGGATTCGTAGCATTGCCGGTGTGTGAGAAGAGATCCTACGATAGGAATTGCGATTCGTCCCAGAATCGTCAGAGCAAATGTTTGGAATTTGCACGAAAGATTTACAAGTGTAGAGGAAGTAAACCTAAGCGCATTCCGCGTATATCAAACAGATTAAATCTTATGGAATCACGCATGTTTTTTTTAGTCGCAATCGTATTTACGATAGATCGATTAATTTTCAGTATAATACGAATATTTATTATGCATTCTCTTATTGTTACGGTATTTTGTAAAATTCAAGAAATTATTATTGAATAGTTTTATTAAGGGAAGCATATGCGTCGATTACATATATATACTTGACTATTTTTAATTACTATTAATTATTATTAATAGCTCAATATTCAGAATAAGAATAATTTATAAATATAAATATTATTATATTATATATATGTCGATTGCGTTTATTTTGATAAATAACGATTGTTGAAATAAAAAATTTTATTATGTTTTAAGAATTAAAATAAATTAAATTTATTATAAAATATTTTAATTTAATATAAAGATCTAATTTTTATACTAAGTATATTAAGTAATATTAAGATATTAAGGATTATTTTTAAGAAAGATACTTATATCAATTAATACAATTATGATTAATTTATTGAAACCTCTCTATATAAAGTATAATCAGTTATAAGAATAATATAAATAATCATTTTATAGGCATTATGAAGTAAATACATTTTAATACATTAAAAAGAAATCTTTTTCTCTGTAATATGTAATATATATTATAATTATATATTTTTTTAGATTGAATAGAGAAAAATTAAAATTGAATCTAATTTTCATTTTAATTCTCCAACTTATTAACATTTTAATTATTAATTAAATGTATATTAATGAAATATTAATTAATAGTGATTTTACGTTTCACAAAATAAAATTTCGAAATATGTAATATTAGATTATGCGTATGCAAAAAACAAATAATATGACATTAATTTATACAATGTTATTTACTTTTTAGCGGAGTGTTATATATTTAAATCTAAATTATTATATTTAAACTATGTTTAAAATATTTAAATTATTTTAATTTGATATAATATTTCTCTCTCAACGAATTTTGCATATGTGTCTAGTGTCAATCGATTCGCATGACACATTTGTGTAGTTGACAATGGCGATAGAGAGAATAAAATATTTAGTCGGATGGATTTCCAACGAATGAACACTAGATACGTACACGCTAGTATAACTAGGAGAGGTGAACAACCTCAATCGATTTCCGTCAAGGAAACTATAGTAGATTGCTCAATGTTTTAAACGTTTTACCTGCCATTTTAAGTCAGACAGTAGGACAGTTTAAAAGACAAAATTTGACTGTTAAAATTTTCTATTTACAATCTTACATAAATTGAAGAAATAATTTATTATACTGTTTTTTTTAAATTAACTAATAATTTATTAATAAAAATATTAATAAACTTATATCTGATTAAAATTTTGTAATGAATAATGAATAATGTAAATGAATGACATAAAAGTTTTTGTATATTTGCACTAATTGTCAGATTTTTATATACGGTTTTTTGATATTTCGTTCCGCTTACTTTTGAATGCTAAATGGCGCAATTTTTCTCTAAAGTAGACAGTGCGGAAATCGTGCATGAATCACCATCTCGCATTACAATGCATTTCACTTTCCCTGTCCGCATTTATTCCTTAATATTTTTTCAGGGATTTCTTAGAAAATTATCTCTCACATTTTATAGAGAATTCACAGAATAAAAAAACAAATATTATATTAAATAGTTATTAGAATGACAATATAATTTTAAAAAATTAATTATAAACTATTAATTATATTGTTGCATTCAACAAACTCTCATCAAAAGTTACTCTAAAAGAATGTAATTCTTCATATTTTATTAACATTTTATTAATATTTCATTAACATTTATTTTAATGGTAATCTTAAATATAAGCTAAAGATAATAGAAAAAAAATAATTATACGAAATTGAAATGTTATAACTCATGCGTATAATCAAAATCAAGCGTTTCTTTCCAGATTGATTAGAGAAAAAAATGCTTCAGCGCAATCGACAAATATTTGATCGTGTAAAAAAAGATTGCTCTTCCGAAAAATTCGGAAAAATCTCTATAACGAGTATATGTGCGCACTGCGAATGAAGTACATTCGTTTGTTCATTCCGAGTGCATTCATATTCGGTTGCCCATTGTACAACATGTTTGTACAGTAGTATATATTGATGAAAATTGCTCATGCATTTGTAAAAAGAGAAAATCGGAACGCATTTTTTCTATCTTTCGCAAGTTAAAAATTCGACAATATTATGCCATCTCTTTATTATCGGTGGAGTATTCTAAAATCATTCTGCTCTTTTTTACGATAATATTATTAAATTCTTTTATATTTATCTTCTTTCTAGAAAGGATTTAATTATTGCTAAATATGTGTACGCGCTATGTGATAATTGAATTTTTTTTGTTTATCGATTTCTGCGCATCGATTTTTTCACATTTTTTCGCGTAACTAATTTATTTATATCTACTTGATAACAATGATGTCAATTTACCACAATTTGAATGTGACATTCGTGACGTGCATGTTAGCCACCGTATTTTTCCAACTGTGTGACGGGTATGCTTGACATTTCGAGCAGGACAATACGCCCCCGGGATAAATTACAAGTTTAGCGAAAATAAACACCATGTCTGGAATGGAAATATTGAATTTCTCTACACAGTCCATGTCTATGTCATGCCGTTTATCGGACAGCAGATACAACAGTTCATGCGATAATGACGTAAATCTAACTAGCAATGAATATTTTAATATATTTCATGCCTTTCTCTTCAGCGAGCGTGCATTAATAATAATATCTACAATATTTATAATACAATTTTTTAATAATTTCTTGTATGTTTCCGTTGTGTTTCAAAAGCACAATCAAATTTTCAATAATTTCCATTTTATAATTTATTTTATTTATTTTATTATTTATTATATTTATTTATTATAATTTATTTTATATTTATTTTATATATATTTATATATTACTTATTTTATATATATTTTCAGGTAATATACATATATATGCACTTGAAATTTATTTTTTTTATTATTTTTGCGTTTTATAACTTTTTTCTTAATATCTGCCAAAAAAATAATGGAAATATCGCTTTAAGAATGTCCTAAAACGTTATATAATTGAGAAAAATTCATATTTTTTATCTTTTCTTTCAATAAAAAATCTGCATTAATGCTCCTTGTTATGTTTAGATGTCATTCCCTTGATAAATCGGAATAAAAAATCAAATTAATCCTTGAAGTAATTATAAGTAGCAATCGGTGAACTTTGGAAATATTTAAAAGGCAAGTGTATGACATTTTATGTAGTATTTTTTTCTATCAAAGTATCCGAAGCTATATACCGGAAAGGTAAATAGATTTTCTCGCTGTCGTTAAAAACAGTAATTCGATTAAAACGTGGACCGCTCGTGTCAAGGAAAACTTTCAGCCGCCTCGGCGTCCTTTATTAACCTTATTAAGGACGAACCAGGCAACCTTGCCTTGTAATTCCGTAGCTCTATATTGCAACTTGATTCGTGCCAGTTGCTCCTTCGTCGCGAAATTAGTGGCTTTGACTCGATCTTGAACACTTTAGCATCAAAACAGGCAAATCAAAGTCATGCACGTCTTTGTAAAATGTACTTAAAGAAGATGTATTTGTATTTGTTTCTAATAAGAAATTTCCGAAATAGAATAAAAATGGACAGTATAAATGCAGATTGAGAAATAATCTACAAGATATTAAATTTTATGCATAATTTTATGCAAAATAAAAATGAGCGAATACTTTTGTAAGATTAACAATAGTGATGCAGAATTAATTATGATAATAAAATTAATTTTTCATTACCTTAAATTTGTAAGAAGATAAAAAAAGATAAATAAATTTATATTTAACTAATTAATCTTTTATCACGTTTAAGAAATAGTTTATAATTAATCAAATTTTTCTTATATTATGCAAAACAGAAATAATTTTTTAAGTCGACGTTATAGCTTATTTGAAACTCAATCTCATTCATTTTACTTAAAACAATTAAGATAATTGTAGATTAGCACAAGTATTTCGAACAGGAGGTACTTTTAATTGACTCGTATATCAAGGAAATCCTCTCCATTTTAACCTTCGTCCTTAGTGTCTGAACCGATTAAGCCTTGCGATTTCTTCAAAAACCTTGATCTCGTTCGTCGCCAGCGATTAAATAGAACGTGATTTTTGAGACGAGAGAATGATGCATACACATATGGTACAGTTTTAAATACATAATTACATGCATAATAAATACATATAAATGCAGTCGATTAATACAAAAAGTTGTAACACTTTTGATTTAGAGCAAGTCCTGTTTTAATGTAACTTTCGCTTGCTTTCTAGTTTCTAAAATTGAACGTGTAGCAATTTCAATTTTAATAAAAAAAAGTTAATAATTTGTTGTATTAATTGTAAACATATATATTACATTTTGTATAACTTATTTATATTTTACATGTTATTCTAAAAATATGATTGATTTATATTTTTTATTCTTTTTCAAGTTTCAAAATGCACGCATACATTTTCTGTAAAATTACTATTTTGTATATATGTCGATATGACATCGAACACGTGTACATTAAGCTGCGACATATCGAGGAAAGTTCCATCGGTCAGTGTCAGCGATAATTCAGCGAGGGGCGTGTGATCTATTATATTTTATTTATATTTATTACATCATTTGTCCTCATTCTTATAAATAATGTATCTTTCTCTCTAATATGTTTGTTAATATTAATGAAAAATGCAACAAAACTTTCTATGAAAATTTTAATGCAATAATAATTAATAAATAATTATTTCACGCCTCGCGCGTGTTTAAATTAGTATAAAATCATTAGATTTATATACAATAAATTTTTACTTTCTTTATGCGTATTTTTTTACCTTTTATTGACATATTTAATTATATTTCAATGCAAACGATAGTTAATTAATTAAATTGGGAGAAAAGTCTAGTTAATTAATTAAATTGTGAGAGAACTCTAGTTAATAATTCTGCGTTTAACGTGCCTGCATCGATATTACTTGTAATCCTCGTGTATATGTAATATCCTGATATTAACTTTAAAGATCCCTCGAGACCAGAACGAAATACATTTTGTCTGAAATACGCTTTGCTGGAGTTATATCGAACTCGACCAATCCAGCTTCCCAACAGTGGAAATTCCTAACTCGAGTTGTAATCCAGGAAATTGGATTTACAAGTTT